TAATAGTAAAATAAATGTAAAAACATTTAATAACACTGAGAAAACCTTGAACAGAGAAAACTAACATTGACGCATCAAGGTTTAGAATCGTTCAACAAGATGATTGTTTCGTCTGCTACATCAGTCGGTCGATTCTGAGAGAGAGAATATTCGTATGAGCAATTCATGTTTCTATTGAAAGTAAGTTAACAGTAATATTTGGGTACAGTATTGTTTTTGGAAGCATTCACCGTAATATCATATGAACGTTTACTTCACCGCATCATCGTATGAATGATGCGAGAAGAGATTAACGGGTTCTTATGTTAGCGATTTACGTACTCGGCGCTTTCGCTATCTAAATTACGGCTTGAATGAGGGGGGAGGGGTATGACTACACTCACAAAATTAATATCTTACTAGAAATTTTATATAACAAAAGTTATATACATAACTGTTACGCTTTGTGTAATTCAACAAAACAAACACAACTTAACTCCGAGTTCTCTCCAAATTTCACGAGTCCGTTCTAGACCCCAGTTTTTGTTAAAGAGTTTCAAGCACAGAAAACATAATTAAAGTTTGAAAAATCATTAATTATACAAACTTTTCAATAATTTTCTTCTTCACTTCGATTTAAATTTTCGTTAAAACCTTCTTCTCACCAACATTACCACTCATTACCACTTTCTCCGAAGGCAAGTTTGTAAAAGAATGCATTGTACAGACAGCAGACATATTGTGTCCGGAGATCAAAAGAAAATTTGAAAAAGTCAGTTTATCACGCAGGACTGTGATTCGCCGTGTGGAACTGATTGATGAAAATATAGCCAGTCAATTAAACAAAAAGTCTGATTCCTTTGAATTATATTCACTAGCACTGGATGAAAGTACGGACATAAAAGACACTGCTCAGCTCATCATTTTTATCCGAGGGATTGACGACAGTTTTGCGATAACAGAGGAGTTTTTGACCATGGAGTCCCTGAAAGCAACAACGCGGGGAGAGGACTTGTATAACCAGATATCTGCTGTCATCGAAAGAATGAAGCTACCTTGGAGTAAACTTGTCATTGTCACAACGGATGGATCGCCAAATTTAACTGGAAAAAATGTTGGGCTGCTGAAAAGAATCCAGGATAAAGTGAAAGAGGAAAACTCCGTCCAGGATCTTATTTTCCTTCACTGCATCATCCATCAGGAATCCCTGTGTAAGTCTGTATTGCAGCTTAATCATGTCGTGAATCCAGTCGTAAAACTTGTGAACTGTATACGAGCAAGGGGACTTCAGCACCGTCAGTTTATTACCTTCCTGGAGGAAACTGATGCGGATCATCAGGACTTGCTGTACCACTCTCGTGTCCACTGGTTAAGTTTAGGGAAAGTGTTACAACGAGTGTGGGAGCTGAAAGAGGACATCATCGCATTTTTGGAGTTGATGGGGAAATCTGACGAATTCCCTGAGCTAAGCGACAAGAACTGGCTTAGTGACTTTGTGTTTGCTGTGGACATATTTTCACACATGAATGAGCTGAATGTGAAACTGCAGGGGGAAAGATCAGTTTGTTCACGACATGTACAAACATGTGAAAGCCTTCAAATCCAAGCTCACTTTGTTCTCCGGACAAATTGCGAACAAAAAATCTTTTGCTCATTTCCCCACACTTGCCATGCAGGAGGAGGCACCGCGAAACGCAAAAAAATACAGCAAATCACTTGAGGACCTGCACGGAGAATTCTGCCGTAGGTTCTCTGATTTCTAAAACATTGAACAGCCACTTCAGCTGGTGTCCTGTCCCCTGTCACAAGACCCTGAAACAGCACCACATGAGCTGCAGTTGGAACTGATAGATCTTCAGTCTGACTCCGTCCTAAAGGAGAAGTTCAACTCTGTTAAACTGAATGACTTTTATGCTTCACTTAACAGAGCCACGTTTCCAAACCTCCGGAGGACTGCACAGAAGATACTGACTTTGTTTGGCTCGACTTATGTGTGTGAGCAGACATTCAGCGTCATGAACGCCAACAAAGCCCGTCACAGATCATAGTTAACGGATCAGCACCTCAGATCTATCCTGAGAATTGCCACAACCAAAATAACTCCAGACTAGGATGCACTGCCAAAAATGGGAGATCAACAAAAGTTCCCACTGAAACTGAAAGTGATGATGTGTTGCTGCAGCGAGGTTGGAGCCAAATCTCCGAGACACAGCCTGCGTGGCTGCTCTAACCTGTTAATGTAGATAATAAAGAAGTTCAAGTGAGGTAATTGGTTTGGCGCAGGCCTCAGATGTTTTCATGATGTTTGATCAGTCACGTTACGACATGTTTTTGTATTGTTCATGTTTGTGCAATTTGTTAAATTGCCTTGCAAATAAATGCTTTGCTACCTGTTAAAGGCCAAATCCTTTCATGTAATGATTTTTACATGTCATTTATATTAGTTCACACAAACACTCCATCCACCTGTTCCTGGCCCGGCCCCTCTGTCAAATTTTAGAACTCATTGTGGCCCGCGAGTCAAAAAGTTTGCCCACCCCTGCTCTAGCTCATCCTGGAGAATTCCAAAGTGTTCCCAGGCCAGCCGAGCGACATAGTCTTGGGCCAGCCCCGGAGTCTTCGCCCAGTGGGACGTGTCTGGTAGAGTTCCAGGGGGAGTCTATTGGGGAGCATTCTTACTTATAATCTATATTGATATCACCCATAGAGCCAGGCCCAGGGGTTGTGTTCACAAAACAAGCGCCTCGTGGCTGTGTGACCCACGTAACTCACTAAGGCCAACTCGAATTGGCTAAGTGGTGCCATCCCGTGCGTCGAACATCCACAGGATGAAGGGTGAGAGGCGGGTGCGATGCCAGTATGGCAGGGAGAGGGATGGTCTCAGATGGACTAGACATTGGCGATGGACACTCAAAGCTTTGTATGGAGCAAAAGTCCAGGCACCTTCCACACAGTATTACAAAGTCTAATGAAAGAATGCTGCTCGACTAATTTTAAATGAGACTTTGGCTGCCAAACCAGAGCTGGTCGTGAACACATCAACCCGGTATGGAAGCTCCTCCAACACTTGTAGAACTGCCTGATTATTCACGTAGAGTTGAGCAGGTGCAGTGTTGTATGTCATTTATTTTTGTGGAATATTTGCAAGGCCCCATTTCATGATGAAATTATCAAGGCACAGAACAAGATTCCCTAATTCCATCTCACTGAGTAGCCATTACCAAATAATCAGCAGATGAAACATGGTTGACCAGGCAGGGAACGATCTTTTAACTATAACCAGGCATTGATTAGCGTATCATTGTAACCGCAACAAATGCAATGGTTTGTATATGACTATTGGGAGCTTCTCAAACTACATAGTAATTGAATATGCTATGTAATGTAATGCATGGGGCCAGAGTGAATTTCTGTCACAAGCCATGTTGAACAGGTTATGGCTCGGAATCCTGGTCACGCAGCGTTAGACCATCTTGCCCAAAATCAAACAAATCCTCAAATGTGAGCAGAGGCATAGATATGAATACAAATAACAACCCAAATCCCTAAGCCTCTTAATAGTACTATAGGCCTTAATTTAATTAAGAATGCAGAGATTTAGTTTATGTTGAAAATCCATAAGCCTCTGCTGTAGTCAATAGACAGAAAATACAGCAGCCCCTAGGTTACCATGGATGTTACATTCTTGGAAATTGCCGCTCGAACGCTAAAAGCGCGACATTCAATACTTAAGCCTTACCTAAGTAATGACGTTAAGTAAACGTCAACTAAATTTTACAATTGAATGAAGTACTGTACTGTATTCCAAATAAACTATACAATTGAAATAAAGAAGACACCGTATACAAAAAGTATTCCAAGACGAAACATTGTATAGTATAAATCTATGAAGATAAAGCAGACTTTGCACTTGTGTAGATTTTTAGTGAACCAAATTGCGCCAACACACCCCAAACTTTCCACGCACACTCACGGGTGAGTTAGTGTGTTTTTGGCACAATTGTTTGCTTACCTTCTCACCTTCAACACCTATACCCCCCCCCGCTCCTCACCTCCCGCCCTCGCCTTCTCTTGCCATGTGTTAAAGTCCGGGGCATTCTCAATACTTTCGGTTTGCCACACATGCAAACTCATTTTGACATTTCATCTACTACAATTCCACACACTCACCATAACATAAGTGTCTCCACTGCACTGCTATATTTGTTCTCACAGATCTCCTTGCATGTCTGACAACACATTGCAACAATGTCATCAACACCAAGATGCAAACCCTGCAAGGTGATGATGGCTACCATTTCCTACTCCGCCAAACTGACCCAGCAACAAGCTTGCCAAAAAAACATACGATTTCCGCCATGGAGGTCTTTGCCTTCAGGATCATGGTATGAAACGGCGGCTTCAATATCTTCTTGAGATGAAAAGAGCGCTTTCACCAATTTGCTGTCGACATGTATGCCAAAATTTAAGCTTCATTCAATTAAACCCATCAGATGGGAATACATCCAACAATGTCTATCCTGAAACTCTCCAAGGGCAACGATTTAAAAGCTGCTCTAATTATTAAACAAACAAGCCCTGCGATTTTATAACACAACCGAAGAACCGTTACAAAAAACACATTTACCGACTTCATTGTCAGAAATCAATTATTCTAACAAAGCCAGCATGGCAAGACATTACTCATGTTTGATCAATATACTTTCAATGATGTTTGTGCGTGAGTGGGGAGCGGTAGTGCAACGCTTAGCATGCTGAGCTATAATCCCAGTGAGCCGATTTATATTTCCACACAGCCAAGCCACAGCATTTGGTTGTCGCCTGCTGAAGCTGGTTGTAATTACTGGCGAAACGTCGTACTCAGATTGTAAATGTTGTGGCGTGGCTCTCCAACACACAACCGGTGTAGTGCTGCAATAGTGACGAATTGGCCACGTGCTGTTTATGTGACAACCCCTTTCTAATTGGCTGTCGGGTTTACCGACACATTTTTATTTTTACGCGACCTAACCCAAACAAACCTGTATTAAGGATATTTGGAATTTGCGTGTCTCTCTCCCCGTGGTCGCGTGGATTTTCCTCCGGATCCTCAGGGTTTTCCCCTCCACATTTAGAGTCAACATCACCACGCGTTTAGAGTATTTGACCGACAGACATTTCCACACGTTGATAAGCCACTTTGTTGTGGGCAGGTCGCTTCTGAAAACAAGAGCGGTATAGCAGCTGAAGTGGGCTTGGCCTGGTAAGAGAAAAAAAACTGTAAAAATAATTTTTTTAAAAATGTAAAAGTAGTGAGCCAGATGAAGACAAATTAAACTTAAGCAGACCCCGCGTTGTAATGTTCCAACCTGGACATCGATTCCATACTCGCTGCTACTCAATTGATATCCCTACGAGAGAGGAGCGAGGCTCTACCTGGGTAAACAACAACAACAACCACCACATCAACAACAACAACCACCACGATGTCAACATCTCACCTCAGATCTCAGTGAGCGCGCGTGTGGACTGGCAGCTTCCTGGTGTCTCGTGACGTCACGCGGCAGCAGGAGGTGACATGACGTCACTAGCGGGGTTCATCACACACTCCCCTCCCACAACAAGCAGCGGTGTAATTGAATAAATTATGTTAATGAGCCGGGCCCACGTGGGGTGATTGGGCTTGGCTGCTGAACCCGTCGCAATGAAATAGCGACGGGTTTCATGAATAAATTATGTTAATGAACCGCCAGTCAAAAGCGCGGTGGAGGGGGTGGGATTGAATATCTTGGTGACATGACGTCACTAGCGGGGAACAGCTTTCCCTGGCGTCTCACGCCGACGAGTTAATGAGTGGTGACGTCACTGTGTGTGTGTACAAACTGTGTGTGTGTACTCTGTGCGTGTACACTGTGTGTACAAACTGTGTGTGTACACTGTGTGTGTACACTGTGTGTACAAACTGTGCGTGTACACTGTGTGTACAAACTGTGTGTGTGTACAAACTGTGTGTGTGTGTGTACACTGTGTGTTGGCACAGTCGGGGGTACAGATGGTGCATCGGCCAGTCAACTGAGTCAGTCGACCCATGGCACCTGGGTCTACCCCGTGCACATAGCCTGACACCTCAGCCAGCCATCTCATTGAGTAGCCATTACCAGATCAGCAGATGCAACAGGGCTGACCAGCAGGGAATAATCCCTTAACTATAACCAGTCATCGATAAGCATATTATTTTTAACCGCGACGAATGCAATTCATTTATACGGCCATTGTGAGCTTCTCAAACTACATAATTATTGAATATGCTATGTGATGTAATGCATTGGGCCAGAGTGAATTTCTGTCACAAGCCGAGTTGAACAGGAAATGGTTCCAACTCCTGGTCACGCACCTTTAGATGGGCCTGCCAAAAATCATAAAAATCCTCAACGAATGTGAGCAGAGGCAGAGACATCGAAATCAAGGAACCCAAAGCACCAAGCCTTTTTAGGGTACCATAGGCCTTAATTACATCAAGAAAGCAGGGATCTATTTTCTAGTAAAACACCCGTACTCCTCTGCTGTACTCGATCGACAGAAAATACAGCCGCCCCTTGAATATCGGAGGTTACGTTCTTTGAAAGTACCGCGCGACAGATAAAAACGCGACATTAAATACTTAAGCCTTACCCAAGTAATGGCGTTAGGTAAACGTCAACTAAAATTTAGATTACAATTGAAATATGTACTGTATTCTAAATAAACTAAAAACTAAACAATTGAAATAAACATTGGGAAACCGTGTCTCATGCTTTTGGTTACAGGTCTACCCAACACGTAAGGTCACACATGCTGTCTGCTTCTACTCGACATTGTCCGAAAAGTCCTCCCAAACCTCTACATCCACAAATGGATGTGATTTGTCTCGGGCTCCATTAGTGACTTGGAAGTCAAACCCTAGAGCCTTCACAGGTCACCTTCACGAATGGTGACGTTTCCCAGCTGCCATCTTTATTGGGTCCTTGCATCACAAACGATGGGCTAATGGAACTTCAAATTTCACACGTCAATCTCAGACCCTGCTCCTTGTAGACCTCCTTACGCGTGTTTCAGTTTCAAAAAAATTCAAAAGGTCTTCCAAGTATACTTTAAGTGGTTTTAAATGTGTTCCCTGGCAGTTGTGAAGATTTGATTACTGTGTAAATGCATTCCAAGACAGTGCAGTCGTTAGATTCCGTGGAGACGAGTTCTGCTCTTTGCAACATCACAAGCCAGAGGGGCAGGCCCTGACGTGACCCACTCGTTAATTTGAGGTGACGTCTTCAGAGGGAGCTTCTACATATTTAAGTAAACATGTGGGAAACAAGGTGGGATATCAATGGACACATATATAAAGTTTTATTTAAATGAAAGTAAAAATTTAATAAAACCTAGGCTAGAATACAAAGCAGTAACAAAAATCCACGATGCCATCAAATGTGCTCTTTAAAGTACCTCCTTGCGAAAAAAACAGATCGGCAGACATCTTTCATTCAACGTTCTCTACACAAAACAAAGGAATGTCTTACACAAACTATAAATACCATGGCCTTCTAGGAATGCATGTGTTCAGTACAAGCCACCTGTGGACTGGTTTTGGTGTACAATGTCTCAACAACAGTCGGGCTTTGCTTCAACTGATGTTCATCAGCAAGGTCCATTTCAAGTCTCAGTTCGACAAAATTTATATACGTAGTACAAAATGATAATTAGTGTTGTTGAGAATGTATCTCCTATACGTAACTTATAAGTTGCATACCTTAACTGATGAATGATCCGACTATGCTCCCGATTTCAAAGACAATGAGTTGCCCCAGTCAGATGCGTCCTGATTCACAAAAATACCCTTTGACTCGTATCACAAAAATAACAGCTCTCACGTGAGTTTTTGTACAGGTTACCACCAAAATAGATAGATGTCCTGACAGCACATATTCCATGTTTGACATTAATACACAAAATGTTGTATGTACGTACAAAATCAGACGGGTATTCTTTCAATTATGATTCAAAATAATCAAAGGGCACATTGGCAACATTTTATTACTATACTGAAATGTACTGCGTCACGTTGCAACGTATTTACAAGTTGATCTGACGAGATGAGGCCTATATGTGCAGCACTCTCATAGAGGGAAGCCAAGTAGTAGTACATTCTCTATTTGTTGCAGAGGTTCAAGGTTCAAATCCGACTGGTATATCAATCATCGCCCCCGACTTACAAACTCATATCCACATGCAAGCCAGTGAACCTTGTGGCACACAGGGGCAGATGCCCATTATGGGCACCCATCGAGTGTCTAAGATGAGATATGTTAGAAAACACATGAGTCGCTCCCGGATTCGAGAACGACCCAACCCACAGATCCACAAATACTGGCCACTCTTACACTGCAGTTTGAACCTAGAAATTGAGTGTTCAACTTCACATTATATTCATTAGAAAGGCCTGTGACAAAGGTGCATCCATTGGAGCTTAATTGTCTCAAGCTTGCACATCTACCTGGTCTCCATTTGACTTTGTATTGTCTAAAAAGTCCACCCACACCTCCACATCCACAAACTCCTGGGAGTTGCCTCGCACTGCCTCACAGTCAGAATTTAGTTCCTGCTTCACACTGCCTCCATCTATGTGAAGGTCCGATTTTGGAGTTGAATCTTCAAATTTAACCTTCACTTCTACGCTCTTCAATGTTACTTCTTCACATTTCACCTTCACCTCTTCATATTTCACCTTGATACCTTTCAAAGTGTCCAGGCTAGGGTTGTCTTCTGGTTCTTGTTTCATGAACAATGGGGTCATTGCAGCACTTTGACTTTCACAAGCTGATTTCAGATTACACTTCTTGTGGATTTTCTGATGCGTGTGTGTTCTCTGGTGTTTTTTAAGATTTGATGAATGTGCAAACGCTTTCCCACAAACACTGCACTTGAAGAGTTTCTCTCCTGTGTGTTTTGTCTGATGTCTTCTAAGAGTAGATGAATCTGAAAATGCCTTCTCACACACACTGCACTTGAAGGGTTTATCTCCTGTGTGTATTCTCTGGTGGGACTGAAGATTTGATGACTTTGCATACGCCTTCCCACACAGAATGCACTTAAAAGGTTTCTCTCCTGTGTGTGTTCTCTGGTGTTGTTTAAGAGCAGATGAATCTAAAAATGTCTTCCCACACACACTGCACTTGAAGGGTTTATCTCCTGTGTGTGTTCTCTGGTGGGTCTGAAGATATGACAATGAAAATGCCTTCTCACACACAGTGCACTTGAAGGGTTTCTCTCCTGTGTGTGTTCTCTGGTGTGATTTAAGAATAAACGACCATGCAAACGCCTTCTCACACACAGTGCACTTGAAAGGTTTCTCTCCTGTGTGTGTTCTCTGGTGTGATTTAAGAATTGATGACTTTGCAAACGCCTTCCCACACACACTGCACTTAAAAGGTTTCTCTCCTGTGTGTGTTCTTTGGTGGGTCTGAAGATATGACGACCATGAAAATGCCTTCTCACACACAGTGCACTTGAAGGGTTTCTCTCCTGTGTTCTCTGGTGTCTTTGAAGATGTGATGACTGTGCAAACGCCTTCTCACACACAGTGCACTTGAAAGGTGTCTTTCCTGTGTGTGTTCTCTGGTGTCTTTGAAGATCTGGTGACCGTGCAAACGCCTTCTCACACACAGTGCACTTGAAAGGTTTCTTTCCTGTGTGTGTTCTCTGGTGTTGTTTAAAAGTAGATGAATCAAAAAATGCCTTCCCACACACATTGCACTTGAAGGGCTTATCTCCTGTGTGTGTTCTCTGGTGGGTTTGAAGATTTGATGACTTTGCAAACGCCTTCCCACACAGAGTGCACTTAAAAGGTTTCTCTCCTGTGTGTGTTTTCTGGTGGATCTTAAGATTTGATGACATTGCAAACGCCTTCCCACACAGAGTGCACTTAAAAGGTTTCTCTCCTGTGTGTGTTCTCTGGTGTGATTTAAGAATGGATGACTGTGCAAACACCTTTTTACACACACTGCACTTAAAAGGTTTCTCTCCTGTGTGTGTTCTCTTGTGGGTCTTAAGATTTGATGACTTTGCAAACGCCTTCCCACACAGAGTGCACTTAAAAGGTTTATCTCCTGTGTGTGTTCTCTGGTGTGATTTAAGAATGGATGACCGTGCAAACGCCTTCTCACACACAGTGCACTTGAAAGGTTTCTCTCC